ATATCTACAGGATAATCTATGTTGTTTGATAAGAAAAAAAAACTGCCAGAAAAAACTGCCAGTGTCAAAACAGACAACATTGCATTAGTTGTGCCTCATGCAGTGGAAGGACTATGGTTGTGACATACTTTCTAATAAAATGGCCGACTTGGCAACGTTTGGCAGAGTCTGTCAATAGCAATGTTGATTTTAAAGGCACGTTTTTAGTAAAATAAAAGAAAGTTACCTTTGTGATCACACACGGCTTGGATGTTTATGCTATGGAAGCCTTTCCTGTTGACAAAGCCAGGTTCATTTTCCGATGGGGCATGGATTTTGACGTGCGTGCCGTCAATCGACACTGCACTGTCTGCAGTTCTCACCAGGCTTTCTTCCCATCTCGTAGACACCTCTCCTCACTTCGCCTATGTCATTGGGTGTAGTTGGAAATTGTTTAAATCGTCCTTCCTTCTGCTGTAATGCTTCTATCACGCGAGCCGCTATCCGACTAACCGAGGACTTAAAGGCCTCACGTAGGCCTACGCCGTGCCGGTGACGAGCAACATCGATTCAGTAGCGTAAAATCTCAAAGCAATCATCACTTGGTCTCTCGTGGAGATTGCATGGTTTCTGTTCGTAGCAGGCGCGATGTCAACTTTGATCAAGTGTGTTATATAGGCCTAATCAAGTCAGGCCTTGCTGAAGCGCAACCTCTCAATGGAATCAGTAGCCTAGCTAGGCCTAGGCCCTATCACTCAAAGCATCAAAAGAAACGCACCTCTTCTAAAAGTTCTCCCTCTAATCATTCTACCTTTGAACGTCTGTAAAACCTCATAGAATTTACTGCCAAACCAAGCAGGTTGGCCATTTTTGATGATTTAACGGCGTGATATCAAATTTATACCACCTATTTCGAGTGGATAACTTCATTATGTACAATATCGCCCATCACGGTCAGTAGTCATTCGAGTTATGAGAAAATAAGCGACAAGCACATAGGCCTATACCTTCACTGTCGCAGTCCTTAGAAACTGTAAAACAATTTCCGTTTTATGTGTATTATATAAGATTTATGTACAATGATTGAATAAACTTCATTATTATTATTATTATTATTATTATTATTATTATTCCTTACGGCAGGATATCACGCCTTATACCGGATGTACAGCTGGGATAATAATTAGGGATATTGTAGGCTCTTTTTTTTTTCATCCAGATACAGAAAATGAGTTTTTTCCTGCATCTAATTATTTAATGCATTTTTGTGCTTTGTGGTGATTTAAAACGATGAAAAGAAAATATAAAATATTTTTTCGTTGCAATGTAGGCTATAAGCATAGGCAACTCGAGCTATCAGTATGGGGCGTAACTTCATCCCTGAACAATTAAATCCACGGGATTGTAGCCTATACACTCCAATCCCGTGCCGTCATTTTGGTTTAAATAGTTTTGTTATGGAGTTTGAGCCCCATTTATTTTGCTTTATCAAATCTGATCTATAGACAAAATTACGTTATAATGTCCAAGTTTGAACTAAGACTTTTTAAGAAAAATCGCTGGCAGCCAGAGTTTTGGAGTACTAAATGATGTCATTAAATCGGCGTTGAAACGGTGAGCGTGGGGGAAGCCACTCAGCCGTGGATTCAAAACAAAGTTCCCCGACGGTCAGACACCCACCCGTACAAAATTCCTTTTTGATAAACACCCCATTTCCATAGATTAGATCGACCTACTTTAGATCGACCTAACTCCCTGGGGGTTCACGCTAAATAGCTGTCAGCCGGGCGGACACGAAAGTTAATTATCCCCTTACAGCTTGTAGTAGGCGGGACACACATTTAAGTCGGATTATCTGAAAGTAATCTAGTGAGACTCCCTGCGGGGATAGATCGATCTAAAATCTATGGGAATAGAGCCAAAGAGCTCCCAAAGTCTGTTTCATTGATCTACATCTTAAGGTCATCTGAGTGCATATACAAATACCTGTAAACATCGGTCGGTCTTGTAACAAGGTACTGCCTACTTTAAGTTCACTGAATTGAATGTTAAAATTCCTATAAGGGCCCGTAACGAGTTGTATTTCAAAGCCGTTGAGAAACCTGTCGAAAAGCTCTGGATCCGACTTTTTTTATTGAACGTTAATTTTCTTGTGTGTGTACGCATGTATACACATTAAATGCCACATTGCTTTCTTTAAAAATACAATGTTCATCTACTTGCGATTTGTCTGACACACATAAAAACATAAAAATTGACTTTTAAGTTACAGCTACCACTTAAACTGCAATTCTGCATTTACAAACTACGTTTGCTTAGACAACAATTTTACCGTCTTACTTTCTAATTGTTATAAATTAATACACAAGAAACAAGACGCATTAATACAATCCCTTGAGGCACCTCGGACCTTGGACGAATAAAACGCCCCAATCGTCAAAAGTTAAACATAGGCATATCACAAAAAACATTTAAAGTCCTCTAATTATATGAGGTATGGAATGTCAAAACAATAATAATATATTGCACCATATCTATTAACAAAAGCTGTCGTAACATACTATGACTAAATGGGTTCGAATCCACGTTGAAACAAAAAAGTACAGTTTTCTATATCTGCAAATGGATATGTTAACTGATATATCTATTAACTCCAGCACCCTGAGCTTCAGCTGGCATGCAGTTAGATTTATCCGAATGGTAAATTTTATCAAATTCATTAATCATTAATACATTTATAAAATAACAAATTGCTGCTGCAGAGATTCTATGTTAAAATAATCACAGATTTTTTTTTACTTTTTTTCAGCTGGTGATAACAGAAAGGAATGCTGAATGCTACTAAGGGCCCCATGTCCTTGTATTGGGGTCCAGGTTCATAGGAACTTGCCTTGTTTATTATTCTGAATACATGTACTAGATCATGATATGCCCTTGGCCTAAACCTATATTGAAACTCTTACAAAATAAGTTAAACTGGACAAAGTAATGTAAACCTTTTGACTTGAAAGTAAAATTTATGTAATATGCTTCTTACAATCTAAAACCTTTCACATCAAATTATCTAACAGTGGGAATGTTCCACTTTAAATATATGGTATACATATAATCTCATGTACATAACAAAATGTTTAACACAGTGAAATCAACACTGCAAAAGCAGACATTAAAATTTAACACCTGTTAAAACTTGGAATGAAACCTTACACGTTCAAAACTGATCAGAGATACCACTAGAAATGGAAATAATTAGCAAAATAAGAAATTCAGCATCACCAGTTAAAAACTTTGAACACTATAGAACCCAAATGAGTGTGAAATTTATAAACATTTTTCTTAATAATAATAATAATAATAATAATAATAATAGAGTATATTTTAGAAAATACTATTATTTATGTACTAGTACACAATGAGGCACTCTGTAAATTGGAGTCTTGCTTATATTGATTTTTCTTATTGCCCAATTGCCACAAAATAATCAAAGAAAAACAAAAGTGAACTAGCATTATAGAGAATTTCTCCTTAAATTCTACAAACCATTGCTTTGAAATATAAGCCATGTTATAATGCCTTACCACCCCCTGTTAATTTAGAGGTACCTGGTTTAAAGGCATCCGTTTCAGAGGAATATCCTTGACTGGAATTACCACGGCAACAGAGATACAATATTCTTTCAGTTATTTGTTTTTATCTTTAAGTATTTGTCCATTTATTATCTCTCTCTCCCCCCCCCCCCCCCCGACACACAAATTCTGCCTCAGCTTTCATTGTCAAATTGCTTAAAAGTGGGAAAAGCCAGCCACCTAATCCCAATATACCAAGAGACCATTCACAATGAATTTTGTCAACTTATGTGCACTAACTCCACAAGGACTCTTGCTGAATGCAATCAGATTAACAAACTAGCACGCCTCCATCTGGGATTGAGTAGAATATAGAAAGCTGGCGATTATGCAAATACACTGGGAACAAGAGGGGCGTAAGACTGTTAATCTGATTGAATTCAGCAAGAGTTTTTGTGGAGTTAGTGTACATTAGAAAGGTCAATAAAATTCATCGTAAATGTTCCCAAAGTAATATATAGGAATGACTGACCACTACAACCTCAATTTCATAAAGAAATACTCTTTCTTTCACAACACTGCTACAACAGAAATGGTATGAGGGCCGCCCTGTCGGTGGGATACTCCTTCTTGAAGACCACCCCATACCTCCTATGGATATGCAGTGCATAGAAGATGTGATGCACCAGGAGATGCAGGGTACACAGGCACCAGGCTCTCTGTCTCAGTCCCAGGCAGATCCCTATGGCGGTGTAGATGAGGATGTCAGCGAAGAGATGGGGGCAGGAAATCCAGCCAAACCAGTCCCCCCTGGGAACTTTGTACCCTGTGGAAACTATTTGACCTGAAATGAATGATTTGGAGTAGTTTTTAGTGTTTTTTAATTTACACATTGACCTATATATCATATATGTGCATATGAGTCTCTCTCTCTCTCTCTCTCTCTGTTTCTCTCTCTCTCTCTCTCACATACACACACACACACACTCACTCTCTCTCTCTCTCACATACACACACACACACTCTCTCTTTCTCTCTCTCTCTCTCTCTCTCACATACACACACACACACACATACACACACACACATTCTCTCTCTCACACACACACTCTCTCTCTCTCTCACACACACACACAGACACACACATCTCTCTCTCTCTCTCTCTCTCTCTCTCTCTCTCTCTCTCTCTCTCTCTCTCTCTCTCTCTCTGCACTGCACCCTGTGACTCACCTGACTTGTCTTTCCTCAGGCTGGTCAGTATGCTGTAGCAGATGTGCTGGTGTTTAGAGGCCAGGATGAAGACCATGATCCCCACAGGGTGATACCAGTTGATGCAGCATATCAGGTGTAAGAGACCTGAAAGAACAGATTCATGTACTGGTATATGACCCCGATTCAAAATGGATGATCCAACTATTTACTGATCCGCCGACTAAATATGTTCAAAAGCAATTCCCATGATTCCTGATGGTCTCCCCATCTTCACATGTGCCGTCGCTGCAGGGGGCTAGCAATTAAACCTCGAAGCAGAGATTTAATCCATTTAAAGGTGCGTATGGAGTTGGGGAGACCATTTGGATTCAGTGGCATTGCTTTTGAACATATTTAGTCAGCAGATCAGTAAGTACTCATAGCATCCATTCTGAATGGGGCCTTTGGTAATTACCCATAAATTTCTAACACCAGTTTCTTCAAACATTTAATTATTTCAAGATGCTTTAATTTTAGTCATTAAGCAACAGCACCAACATCTAATTTATGTCCCGTCATCATAATGGATTTTCAAGTCAATGATGACTTCTTATTCAAGAAAATATGTTTTATTATTTTACCTGAAATGATTTTGAAAAATGAAATAAGTACATGCTTTAAGAAAGACAAAGAAAGAAGGGAAAAAAAAGCCCAAGGGGAATCGATTCTATTACAGTGTCTATTACTGAGCTTTTTAGTGGGTCGCCATATTTGACCCTCGGACTAGTTAGTCCACTAACTTCTTAACTAACTTCCTTGCTTCCAGAGGTGGTCCTTCAGCTACCAGACTTAGCCCAAGGCAGAGAACTAACTTCCCTTACCTTGTCTCTCCAGAGGGGGTCCCTCAGCTACCAGACTTAGCCCCAGGAAGACTGGAAGCAGATACTGCATCATATGGGGGAGAACGTTCATGTGCACACTTGTGTATATGTTCAGGTGCAGGCACTCATCAAGTCGACGCACGTGTTGGCATATCAGCATGGAAAGGCCGATCATGGTGGATAAGGCATCTGAAGTATCAAAGGTGTAAAAATTTAATTTCCATATACAGATTTCATTTGTTGAAGTACCACCAAAAATTTTTATTAAAAGTATCAAAATTAAATATTTATACATAGATATCAGTGGTCAAATTTCCTCAAAGTTTGACATAAAATGGATGGAATTATCACTTGCATACACAAATATAAAGTAATAAAACTATGATTAATACATACAGATACCATTTGTCAAATTTCAAAGTTTGATATAAAATGTATTTAAAATTATCATTTCAAAATACACAGGGAGTTTCGGGGGTGTATGTCAGGGGTTGGACTGGCGCAATTAAGGGAAGTTCTTAAAGCGCATTCAGAAGAAGCTGATCTGTGGTCTTATAGATTCGCGGATCAAATATGGCCAACTCGCTTAAAAGCAATGCACACAAATCATAATGCCGTGATAGTCACCCTGCCTCCATACGCGCTGTTCCTACTGGTACAGGAGCCTAGCAATAAAACCTTGGAGCTGAGGCTTAATCCATTTAATGGCATGTGTGGAGGCAGGGAGACCAGCAGGGGATTATGCGACTTGCTTTTCAGAGGGGTCGGCCATATTTAGTCCACGGATAATAATAATATGTATTTATTTGCAACTTAAAAAGTTGGATTTTACAATAAAAACAAATAGTGGTGAGATGCACAATCTTAAAATATGCTTGTAAATGATCAGTTAGTCCACAGATCATCTGTTCAGAATGTGCTCTTATTCATTACCTGTACTGTTATGATGAGGCTGTGCTACATATTGCAGTATAACCTGGGTATAAGGCACATTCCAGTCCAACATATAGGCACCAAAGACATTGATACCTAGCCAGCTCAACCAGGACAGACTTAGGATGTAGTATACAACAGGTCTGAAATATAATCACAGTCATTAAATACAGGTCAGACTGAGGGGTCAACTATTTTAATCATCATTTTCACAATTCTACAAACCATACGCTGGGGGGAGGGGGGGGGGGAATGCCATCTGCCTCTCACACATCTCCCCATGCATGTGAGAGGTGGAGGGGAGACCATTACAGGCTTAAGCGGTCTTCCTTTCATGTAAGTCCACCAAATTTAGGTCGCGGCCTTGCTAGCATTTGGCTCTTCTCAATCTGAATGGTCCCATACAGTGGACTAAGTACTCGTGTTGTAACTAGTACAAACCACTAGCACTACTGCTGGTAGTACACTGCACATGTAGGTCTACAGTGAAAAAAAATTAATTAAGGACAACCTTTCCATTTGCTATCTCCGATGATCAACATTAAAACTCTAAAATACACCCCAACCGAATACAGCTTTACTAGACGCACTGCACTGCACTGACCAGTCCATCGATATAACAGTGACCACAGGATATGCTCTACTTATTGCGTTGATTTCTCCTCTGTAATGACAAGACTGTCCGCAGACACTAGTGCAAGCTTGCCGATCAAATGAACACGCATTACCTCCAAATAAACGTCACTTGGGCCAACAAGGAGTCATCCCTAGGTTTTGCCTTCTTCGCTTTGCCTATATGCACGCCCGTGAAAACTAAAACGAGTCCGATACAAATTTCTACAGCGACATAAAGCATCAAAATATAATCCAGCGGTCTGCTCGAAAACATTTTTGTGACCCAATTACGTTGTTTTCTGTGACGATAGAGGGCATTGTACGCGAAGACAAGAGAAAGGCGTTTTGTACAGGTGAAGGACCGGGACTCCAGACTACCACCAGGCCATTATACCGGTGTATAAAGCAAGCTTGTTTACCATACTTTCTTTGTTTACACAGGCACACTGTTGTGGGCTATACAGGCTTGAATACAGACAATAATTCACAGATGGGGGTAACACGTACCTTTTAAAGGATTTGCGTCTTGCCGTCAGAATGGCCTGAACGGAACATATTCTTCAGAAAACATGCCCAACTAACGATATCTTTATCCAAATACACAAATTAAAAGCTCATTACTTGTACTTTTATTTTCAACTTTTCATCATCAATGTGTTACAAAGACAAAGTTTAAATGAAATGAGTCCTTTTTCCTTTGGTATGTAGGCTACACTTTAAAATAACTTTATTAATGTATAACTTGCCCTCATTAGTAAAAAATCATTGAACATTATTTGAATTAGAGCCTTAAAAAGTCCTTGGAAGCCAATTAATGTTCTTATGTGTCTGTATGAATCCTGGCCAGTAGATTCTGTGATAGAGTTGTTGGAATGATTAAATAAAACCAGGGGCACAGTGATTTACAGTGACCCAACATTGAGCTAAAGGCAAAATAATTTTGTTTGGAATCACATAGGTAGTAGGGCACTGTAATTACACGTCTGATGCACAGGCAGACACCCTGAGCTTCAGAGATAACTTGACACTAATCTCTTCACTATAGCCTATCTTCATCGTTAGGCAAAAGCCAATATCTTAACTTGTGTCTTGTGTGCAGTAATTTATAATGATTTAGTTAAATTAGTTCTTATATGTACACTTGACCATGAATTCAGTTTAAAAAGGTTCAAAATTCCAGACAACTGTCGCCCTGGTAGAGGGTAGTTGCTAAGTGCGCTATATCAGGTTGACTACATATAATACATATTATAATATTTATTCAAGAGTTGACCCAGTAGGAGCTCCTTTCACAAAAAACTGGTTGTTGTTCAAATAACCGTCTCGGGCTAGCCAGGGGCGAATCCAGCTTATTACCTCCCCCTCCTGAATTTTTTTCTTTTTTTTTTTTTTTTTTGGTATTTTAGATGGCAAGCGGTGCTATTTGGTACGGTTTAGTAGGCCTAGGCCCCGCTATAAATCAGCTAGTCAAAATTCTAATTCCAAGAGGGGAATATTAGTGTGGGTTTTTTTCAGAAACCGAAGGGGGGCTCAGGACCCCCTGGCCCACCCCCTTCTAAAGCCGCCACTGAGGCTAGCTCAGGTGATCGACAGTTCTGTATGATATTGATTTTTTCAAGTTATAAAACGCATAATGCCACTCCCGTTTACCTTGCAATTGTTTGCACGTGACCTTACCGCAGCCCTTTGAAAGTACAGACTAGTGTTACAGGCATATTTTATATGGGAAGTTCACATAGATTAATTTTCCAAAAGAAGAAGTAGAGATTATCTCATATTCGTGAATCATTGCTCGTCTCGCCGCTGACGTTGCTACGCTGCGTTGTTTTAAGCCGTTTTTTATTTAAAGGTCTCGAATCACGATTCATTATGGGCGCATTCAGAACATATGATCCGCGAACTAACTGATCCGCCGATTAAATATGGCCGACTCCGCTTAAAAGCAAGTCTCTTAATCCCCTAATGGTCGCCCTGCCTCCACAAGCGCCCTTCAACGGTATACGAGGTTCAATTGCAAGGTCCCTGCAGCGGCGGCTCGTGCAGAGGCGGAGAGGCCTTCGGGAGAATAGTGGGTCAGCCATATTTAGTCATACACAAATTATGTAATACTAGTCCGCGGATCATCTTGTTCTGTATGTGCTCTTATACTGGTAGGCCTACCGGGCATTTCAGAAGGATATATTGATTTCGGGAATTTTCATTGGGTTTTTTTTTCTTCTTTTGTTTGAAATGTTTGACTTAGAACGGATAATTAAGAAGCTTTGCAGAATATTTAGGCATTTCTTAATTTGTACAGAAGGCCTTTGAGTGAGTGAGTGACCGTTCGAAGGTAAGGACGCGAATTTTTCTTCTTCTTCTTCTTCTTCTTCTTCTTCTTATTTTGGTTAGAAGATGAATCGGCCTTACAAACCAAATGTATTAGAGCATGAAATAAATCATATAGCGCTGATGCCGGTCATCAGAAAATACAAAATGCCACTAGTTTTGACCTACTGTCCATGCAATGGCTCTTGCATCCTATGTCACTCTTCTTTGACTGTTTACCAAGATGATAAGTGGTTTTCACTTGGGAGCCCTGGTGATGTGAATTCCTGAAGCATGGAGCCTTCTTTAAAGATGCATGTAATTTTTGCTATATATTTTTGCCACAAAAGCCAACCAAATGCCAACATATAATTTCAAGTAGTATAACTAAGAGAGCTACCAAAAGGCATTGTATAATTTTACCTGAAAATGATGTTTGAATGGATATTTTTGCTAGCATTTTATGCTGTATGTCAATGGGGCAGAAAAGTAGGTCACGAAAGTAGGTTAAATTTTTGACCAAAAATTTAAAGAAAGGAGCAGTCTAAAGCTCTTTTACGGCTGATCGAGTGATCTATTCAGTTTATCCCTTCGCATGTCGAATTCATTTGAGTCGTATAAGAAACTAGTAGTAGCAAAAGTGGTTTACATGTGTTAACGGGAATCCACGCTCCACCGATGCTCTGTTCGTATGTACCTTTAACGTCCTTTTGCTAATATCAACCTGCAAACTGTGTGATGCACTGCAAAGTTAATTTGCTGTACGGTTCAAATCCCTTAAACAGTGTGTTGAGGTGAAGGGGGCTTTAATTTTTATAGATTTCTTTACAGTTTTAAAAACAGTTTACAGTACATTGCCTTCATTTCTGCCTAGACGGTATTGAATTCCCTGTTTTCACAAAAGTGTTTTTGTTTAGTAAATACTGTTGAAATTTTTGTTTTGCTTTTTGGTGTCTGTGTTCCAGCTAGGTTTGCTGTCCAGTATTTTAAAGCTAAATTAAGGCTTGAAATAATTCTACGTACACTTTATGAAGATGTCACAGTCGCAACCTTAAAGGGATAACAACATATATATACTGTTCTTATAAGACTCATATATTTCACAATAAATACATTGTAAACAACTCGCGATCAGTACTTCATTTCATTTCACCACCAAAACAGCGGTTATGGCAATAATTCAGCAACATGTGCGTGAACCTTCATAGATTGCTGTACCTCTGTAATTTCTTAAGAGCTTATTACAAAACGAACTTTTTAGAAAAAAATTAACATGGACTACTTAAAATGTCGGAATGGATTCATTTACCATACGTAAGTATGGGAAAACCCATTCACCTCATTCACATTCACATTCACATCCATTTCCCAAAAAGAACAGTTGTTATCCCTTTAATATACCTGTACTGACCCTTTTTCCTTAAATGGTAAATACATGCAGGTCGCTGACGTTTTTTATAATCCTTCACAGAGGATTTCACGTGAATCGGTGACCCGTTTATTTTCACCTAATGCCGGTGAAGCATTGAAGGGTGGTCTCTGAACCTAGGCAGGTCATGTGACTTAGACTGAATCGGATTGGAGGGTAAGGGACTCAGCGCCACTGTTTTATATAGGTCTATATATACCGTACATGCACAGAGACGTGCAACTTGAATGCACACAGCTCGCGTCTAGTAGAAAAATATTAGGCTACTACAAATACGACGAGGGCAAAATTGATCGGAACTTCATCTAAAATTAACACGTACTATTATTACAAAGGGCACAATGGAAGTAGACCATGGCAAACACACAAAAAATATTCTGGAAACAAAGAAGAACTCAAAAAGTGACACCAGCAAAACAGTGACCCTCTGTTTTCTGATCGTCATTTTGTTTATGACTGTGTTATACTTAAAGTTCGGCAGGAACGTGGAAGTGACGATCCTGCTCGAAGGCGACGACGTTCCTGGAAGAGACCATTTGTTACGCGGTGGAAATGGCGATAAAACCAAGATGCTGCCCAACGACTACCAGAATTTTGAAATGAATAAAGAGATGAAAGTGAACAGAAGTCTCTTAGATGTCATTCGCGGACCCCGGAGACAGGAGGTAGGTTCAAACATCTGTAAGGTACAAGATCCAGTAGATGCATGATATAAATTATTATATGTTATTATGCATTATGATATTAGGATTTAGATATAAGACAATATAATACAATACAGTTTACATTATGATTTATATCAGGCCCATAGCCAGGGGGGTTCGGGGGGTTCGAAAGAACCGCCCCTTTTGCTGGGAAAAGGTCCACTCTGAGTAAAATTTTATCTAGGTACATGAAGTTTTTATGGAAAAGGGTCCACTTTTTCAGAAAAAAAAAAAAAAACTTTTGAAATTGCTGGCTACGGGCCTGTATATAGAGGTAGTCTTTCAATTCTTAAATTAAAATTTATTTGAGAGAGAAAGGGAGAGAAAAAGAGTTAGGGGCAGTATCATAATCTGGCGTTCTGTCATCAGAAATATAGCTTCTGGTGCCCTTTCTTACCGCGAAAATAAGAGAGGGAGGGAGGGAGAGATATCAATGCGTTATTCTCATGAACTATAATATCAGTCCCATTTAATTTTTCATAAGAGTGAAAAATAGTTCCCAATCACATTGATTAGACCCCGGAGGAGGTAGGTGCAAATACTTGTAAGGTTTAAGATCCAGTAGACGCAGGATTTAAAGAATTGTACCCTCTACCAGGGTGGCAGATTATATACGGAAAAACGGAAATATCCACAGAGCCAAATGACTGTCTATTCATCTAGAGACATATCTGTTGATATCTGTGAAAATCGATATGTCGATCGGACCACACTACCCGTTTTCAAGGTGTGTATCAGTACGCGCTTCGAAGTAACAGACGGGACGCCGCTCTTGCCTAGTACGCGCTGTGATAGTGATGATTCTCAGCGGGGTTGGAAAGTAGTGCATCTCATCTCAAAATTTTGTTTCCGAGGTATATGTAGATACTGTGAAATGTGTGAAATGCGTACACCTTGAAAACGGGTAGTGTGGTCCGATCTACATGTACCGGTGAAGTCGGGATCATTTGGTGCCGAGCCTGGTAGTTGGGTAGGCCTGAACTTGCTGCGCGTACGCTGACATACCCTACGTCGCGGTCGAAATTTTCAAAGTTATGCGATCTTCGCGGAAATCCAAGAATTGTGATTTATTCTATGCAGAAGTGCCTAGTGAAAAAATAATAAGACATGGTAGCAGAGTTTATTAAGCGTTTCTAAATGTGCGATTTACCCAGAATAATGACAATGGATACAGTTTACACAAGAAGTTGTCTTATAGAGGGCGTCTTTCGATTTAATTAATTAATTTATTTATTTATTTATTTTTAAATTTGAGAGAGAGAGAGGGAGAAAGAGAGAGAATTAGGGGCAGCATCATAATCTGCCGTGCTGTCATCAGAAATTTATAGACTCCAATGCACTTTTATACTGCGTAAATATGAAAATAGAAAAGTGCCAAGTTCTTTTATTTCCGATTACCAAGCTAATTATCTAATATCAATTCAAATCGACAAACTGCATGCCAACGCTTTGGTTAACACAGGTGTCGTCATATCTTGTGTATCAAAATCTCTTTTATCCAAATTAGGAAAAAAAGATGACATTCATACGAAAAACTGCCATTGAAAGAAGTTTCAGTTGTTGATGGATCTGTGATTAAAATTCTGGGAAAAGTAGAGTTGCCTCTTTGCTTTGGAGGTGTGATCATAAAACATAAAGTCCACGTATTAAGTCAGTTGCCGAGAGGTTTGATATTAGGCACAGATTTTCTAAAAAAAAGGCACAATGTAAATATCGATATATCGTCTGATAGCATGGCATTGCCCGATTATGATTTGCTCTTACCCTTGTATCGTCCACCTTTATTAGGTTAAATACGTGACTTTAAAGCAGAATTTATGTCACCCAGATTTAATTCCAGTGAAAATATCACATTCGTCATCTAAATTGCTTTAGATGAGGAATGTGATATTTTCATTGGAACCATGTACGAATTCTTGAGTCAAAGAAAAAACTTATCGGAGCGAAAGGTTTGGTTTCCATTGATAAAAAAATGCTTACAGAATAATGAATCTTAGCGATGAAAGAATTGTTATCCTCAAAAGAACAACAATAGCTGTTGCGAGTCCAGTAAGTCTGAAAAGCGTCACTGCTTTAAATGAAATGTCAGAGGATAACACAACTCAAAAAGGTGACAGTTAATATGATCAAGAAGCATTGAGAAATGCAGATGAATTAAATATAAACTTTGCCGATTCATACTTGAATTAAGGTCAAAAACAACAGCTGAAAATATTGATAGGACATAATCATGATGTTTTTGCTAACAATCTTTCAGAGTTAGGTTCAGCAAATATGCATAAGCATCGAATTGACACAATAAATGATGTTCCTGTAAAACAAACATTTTATCGTACGTCACCAAAGTTCAAAAGTGAAATTGTCAGGCAGGTAAACGAAATGTTAAATTGCATATGATAATTTTAATTTAAAAAATTTAAATATTTTCGGAATCAAATGAGTAAAGGGAAAAGGAGTTATTTAGTGTAACTAAAATTTCTTATAGTCAACAAGTGTAAAAATTGTTTTCATGGTATGAAAAGATGTAACATGTCAAAGTCACATATAGTTCGATCTGATTTGTTAATTTATCAATAGATTTGCAAGTTTCTGGCACGTGTTAAACACATGTAAACTAAGGATGGATATGGTCCAAGCATTAGTAATTCAAAATAATATTTTGATATTTTAAATTAAAAACAAGTTTCTTAGAAGTTACCTAATAAGGAAATGTTGAATGGTGGTTTGCAACATGAGAATGGAAAATTCCTTGTAATCGCGCAAAAACAATGGAAAGAAAACAAGTAAATGCATGTACGTAGAAATAGAATATAAATACTTGGTGAAAATGTATGAAAAGGCAGTCGGTGAATAAATGTCCGAAAGCTCCAGATCGTCGTTATTTGTCACTATAACAGAGAGAGAGAGAGAGACTCAAAGAGAGAGAGAGCAACGCATTATGCTCGTGCACTGTAATACACTGTATCTCTCCCATTTCATAGTACCCAATCAGATTGATTATTTAAATTTAGGATTCTATAAATAATGCTTGTCGTTTTTACTTATATTATAGGTAAAGCCTGTGTATGCAGAGCGGAGGATTGTCAGTAGGCTACAAGTCACGTGAAGTCAAGGCAATCTTACCCATGAAGTGGCCTCAATAACAAAGATAGAAATATTCATCGGAGGCGATATTTGGGACAGCAATAACCAGTCAGCCATCTATAGTTGTCTTTTTTACAAGGATAGATCAGAAGCTAACTCTAGCGACTTATCAATCATTCTTGAGTGCTTTGTACATAGTTTGCATGAGAGCGTAAATCAAACCTGGATTGTATGAGACAACTAGGGGAAAATTGACAACCATGCAACGATAGACTTGATTACGGCACTATAACTAGAGCTAGCGTAACAAATACGTATATTTATATATTTTTCAGAATTTTGTTTGAGGTGGTGGTGTTGGGGGTCAGGATGGGGTAAAATAAGTTCGATTCAAGCATCGGTAATACCAGCTGGGTGGATCCAACTCTGCGTATATTGCATTTAGTGTCTGACACGCTACTGGGTGATTAATTTTAGTGTGCGTTCCATGTATTTACCCCCCAGCTCGAGGCGTGTCAGACATTGAACACCCAAACCCAATACAAAGGTCCATTTCACATAAAAAAAATCAAAAGGTAAAATTGAATGACGATGAATTATTCTCTGTTATTCATGGTTCCAGGAGAGTGAAACTTTGGTACAAACTTCTTCATGTGGGACCCTAAAATAATCAAAAATAGTTTGTAATCTGTGCACTAAAATATTTAAGAGCATGCCTGTGACCTCATTTGTACCTCTATATTGGGGTTGGGTGTTAAGCCGATTACTGTGATTGCACTTAAGGGGAATCTCCCACAGAGTTGGATCGTTCCACCTAGTGCGATGGATTTATCTGATTGCTCCCTAAATTGATATATCAGAAGGAATGAAACGAGCTACATATGAAATATAAGATAAAGTTTATTTTACTGTAATATGTTACGAAGGTTTTCGTCTTCGCAAGCTGTTGACAAAATGAGCCAAGTCCTCCGTCCTCAAGTTATTTGCTATTTTTTTTCCTATGGTTAAGTATACAGTTAATTTCCGTATGTTTATACAATAAATTAGAGTACCGTGTCCAAATTTCCATAACTATTGGATTTTCATTGCCAACAGAACATGGTTTCATGTAGAGCTTGGGGATGGGAAGTGTGGTTTTGTCTTGTTTCGCATGTTGTTTATTATATGCTAGTATTTGTCTAACCGTGTATTTTTCTATTTATTTGTTGAGGGGGGAAGATGTCCCCGAAGCGTCCCGCTGAAGCTGTGCCCCCCCCCCCCCCCCCTTCGTGGAGAGATTTTCTAAATGTTTTTAAATGGGCTTCGATTTACAACAGCTGCAGACGTAGATCTATAGCCAAGCACCGTCCAGACAACAAATATAAAACCTTGTGAAATCTTATCTGGTCTTTATTTTGAAATGTTATTTAAGACTGCAGTGTAAAGAAGTTTGAGCTTATTTTTTATGCTTTTTGTGCTTTCAGTTAGATGAAAGCATCATCAATATCCTGGGCATTTTTTGCAAAATAAATTATATTAAAACGTCAAGTAACGCAGTGTCATAGTTCTGATTTATTCCGTAAATGAGTCACAATTAACACTAATGTGCATGTATTTTGGCGGTTGGGATGTCGATAGAACTGTTGAAAAAAATATCCTTACTAGTGCACATATGAAGTGCATAGATCATACAGAACGCAAAGCAGAGAAGCTCGTCTGTGTAATTAACCCACCAGGTAGCAGCACCTTCCGCCAGGCGATCTCAGAGACGGAAGTTTTTTGTTCATGAAAATGTTATCGTCTTGTCTATATTTTTACTGACCCACTTGTGTATCGGTCCACCGAATCTTTTGTAAAACATCCATAATATATAAAAAAATTGCAGAAAAGCTCCACTGCAGAACTTATCCACCACTAATAAGCAACTTGATATCCTTCGCCATCTATATAGACAGCGTTACCAAGGATGGTCGCCTTTGTCCTAAGAAAAGTCCAATATCATCCTCCCGATTTCTTACCCAGTCACTTACACAAAAAAGTGTCATTTTTACGCGTGTCCCCAGCAAAGTGTACGGGGACAAAGTACTTTATCTCAGTCAGCTTACATAGAGAAATGTAGACCCCAAAGGAAATCAGTTTATTCCTAAGGCTGCAAATTTCAGCAATTTGAAAATACTTTTTTTTAAACAATCTGTGGCACAGACTAAGTCACAGTTGATCAAACCTGCTTACAAGTGTGGCATTATCACTTTAACTGATATCAAAGTCAATTTTACCAGAACTAAAAACAAAATAAATAAATAAATAAATAAATAAATAAATAAATAAAGACTTTCAGTCTAAATTACATTGACCAACTTATTATCTGCATCAAACCTTAGCCAGGTTTTCCATCTATCCCCCCCTCTCCCCCCTCAGGTCTACAGATCTCTCTCCTTCACTGTCATTGTGGAGGCATAGGAATGGACCCAGGGGCCATACCACTGTGTGATGTGGGGGTCCCAGAGCCCCCCTGGGCCCCTGGGGAGGGGGCAGGAACCCCCGTTGGGGATTCCAGATTTTTCAGTAACTGCTGTAGCCATCTTTTTGTTGAGTTGTCATCTTTGAGGCAGTTGACAAAGGTGATGTCTTTTAACTGATCTGGAAGACATTGTCTCAATGCCTCTTTGGCTCTGAAAGAAGAAAGATGTAAAGGAGAAACTGCTTCAAAATATTATTGAATGAGTTTCAAGCCCTTATTACATGTTAAAAAAATATAACTTCTTGATACAATAGAACACAAAGCTATTTAACTATAATGTACAGATTATCATTTCATAACAATAACACCTTCAAATATTTGTTTTAAGAATAAACTCCGATAAAAATGTAATAACTCACCTTGGGTTGTCTGATAAACGTAAATAGCACCTCACTACATGTTTTAGTAACCTTGCTGACTGGTCTTTAGCTAATTGAAGGACCATCTTGCCCTGAGAATGAAAATAATTACATAAATAAATTCTCTCTATTACTTCAAGGTACTCTCCTTGAGATTCACTTGCCAAAAAGGATTTTCCCTTAGAAAATAAGCTATTTCCTCGCACTCATGAGTTATATCTTTCCCTTTCTGCACTTGGACTCCACCTTAGATAAAACTGATAAAGACTGACTTTAGATTACAATGACCAGCAGTCATAACATCAGCGACCATTTACCTTGAAGCTCCAATGGAAATGTCAATATCAGGTAAGTTCCAGAAAAAATAATTAAGTGGTTAAATCAATTTCAGGGCATATGTTAGGTTTTATAAGAAACTGTGGATCGCAAAAATAAGCACCCCACCCCACCCCACCCACGTTTTTAGGCTTGGAAAATGATGATAAAAAATGGACAACTTTTCATTCAACTTCCTATGGGGGAAAAAAACTTACCAGTATCATTGCAACATGTGAGAATCTTTCATAGGTTTGGCATATGTATGACAGGCCTGTATCATCTAAGAGTATTTTCTGTAAGATAAATGTGGCTACCTGAAAAGATTAATAAGCAATTCATAATAAATTCATATAAATTATGTTAAGAACATGGACAACCTTACGGAAAGGTACTTCAAGTTTGTTTTTTTTTTCTCTTTCTTTTCTGAGAGAGAGAGAGAGAGAGAGAGAGAGAGAGAGAGAGTATAAATACCAAAATAAAACTCACTGTTTTAGATAATTCACTCCCGGATTCCATAATCCTTAGACATAATGGTATAATTTCAGTTGTAAGCAGAAAATTAATCACTTCCTGTTCATCAGTCTGAAATAGAACAGAATTCTTCCTTGACCAAAGTTCTACGCACATTCAAATTGCATTAGATAAGCTAAATAATGATGGTGCTTCAAAAATATATATATTATTCTTATACTGGAACTAAGACTAGCAACGGACCAGCGTTGCAGTCTCAACCTGAGACCTTTCACTCATATGGGAGGGCGTACAGGAGACAATTCCTAGCCGTATGACAATAGATCCTAATGAAAGATCTCTGGCTGATCCATATTTCTCGTCCTTTTTCCTACTGGATAAACACATTCACTCATCAACCACGGTGATTCACCTAGCACAACAGCCTTTGAATTTTTCTACAACTTTTCAAAAGAGCTTCTGATTTGATTTAATTTTTGTTTAAAATGGAACTGTTACAAGATGCACATACTAGTAACACTCCTGCAGGTCCCAAGTTGGTTTGCCTTAGGTTTCAAACAACAAGATAAACGAGATTCACAGTGATAAGTGGAATACACACTTATACAGGAAACAGACTGTGTCAGATGTGATTTATGAATCTCATCAGACAAACACCATTGTGCAATGAAGGTCTCTATGGTTAATTTGCCTATCCAGTTGCGACAACTTTGACTTTTTTTTCTAATAATTGTGATTTTTTTTTTTTTTTTTTTTTGTCAGCCAAAAAAAATGTTTCACATCTTAGAGAGCATTCAGAACAGCGTACTAACAGATCCGCGGATCAAATATAGCAACCCACTAAAAAGCTTGCTCCTTAATTCCCAATTAGTCACTGAATAGATTCCCTGCAGGGATTACGCAAGAAGCATTAAAGTGGATCATCCATATTTGATCCACTTTAACGCAAGAAGCATTAAAGTGGATCATCCATATTTGATCCACGGATCTGTTAGTCCGCCGTTCTGAATGTGCTCTTATGCAAACTGCATTTGAGGGAAAGTATTGAGACAAAAGAAGCTATCTGACAATCTTCTTGTGATTAGGTTGGAAATATAAACTGCATACACAGATAAAATAGTAAGGTTCTAAACTCAAGTGCCACAACACAAATGGCACAGCGACCTATCAAAGCAATCTTACCTTGACCAGAGCGCCGATGACCCCCAGACTGGTCAGCCTGAGGTATTCGAAGGGACGGGTTTTGCTGACTGTGTGGAGGAATGGGTACAGGAACAGTGGAATGTGGGCTGAAATACAGACAATACAGATTTAAGAGATATACAAGAGTATAGTGATCAATGCGTATGACTTTTCCAACCACTGGCACTTTTACCAATAAGATAATTGCGTTTGTATTTGGGTTTCAAGACAACAAAGTAGAGCATAGAATACATTGAAACATGTTAAAATACAGGCAAGCGGTGAAATACAAGTGTTTTTATCCTATTGTTCCAAGTCACAGTGTAAATGTATGTCATTTGTCAACTATCTTTTAACCCCCCCCCCAAAAAAAAAAAAAAAAAAAAAAAAAAAAAAAAAAAAAAAAAAAACCTGAAATAATGGCTTTGTGAAGTTGCCTTCATACTAGCTATTTTCCGATTTTTTTAACTTTATCTTTTTCCTTCTTTTTTGAAATGAAGTTTGTCCATTTTTGGTCACAGTATGCACCTTAAACCTTTTAGCCCACAAGGGACAAAAAAATTAGCCAACATGGGTCTGCCAAAAATAATTCTCTCAGTTTTAACACACACGTAACTGCAATATAAACAAATACACCAATAAACTAGCAGTGAAGCCAGTTCACCAGCTTGATATGCCAATTAAGTATACCACAGCTTCACAATCACCTTTGAGAAACGCTGATCTGGTTTCTGGATGGGAGGCCACACACTGTAGTAAAGCTAGTGCATTACACACTCTATTAGACTGATGAGCCTGGAACGAAGAAAATTATTTAATACTGGATGCTGAAACAGGCAAGCTTGATTTTACTGATATTAGTTCAAACTTTTCTCATTTTATAACTATAACTGAATCTAATATGTGGCAAAGCCACATCATGGTCAATTTTTGACCAACATTTACAGGATTTAATATAAATATACTTATATAAAAACATATATGAATCAAATAAAAGGGAAAAAATAATCTTCCTGAATGACAACCCATGTTTAATCTAAATAACATGTCAAACTTTTAACAAAATTCTAACAAAAATCAAATTTAGTAAAAGAAGATGTTAAATCCCCCCCACCTTTCTTTTGCAAAATAAACATTTTCCATTAACAATAAATTTGTTTTATCAAAGCAAGGCTTACGCCAGAGCTGGCCATCAGCAATGACAGTAAAGCCCCTTTTACACTGGACGGTGCCCTTTCTGCGTCCCGTAGTATGGCCCCGTTTGAGTAAAGAAAAAAAAAAACTTCATGCGCTGATCATTGAGCATTCATTCTGCAACCAAAGCGATACTTGTGCCTCCTTTCTGTGACCACAGCAATACCAGTTTCATGGTCACACAAAGGACGCAGAAAAGACACCGCCCAGTGTAAAGGGGGTTTAATACAAACATGGTCACTTACTGTTAGATGTGGTGGATTGATGGCTGGGTAGATGTTGATGATCTCCTGTAAAAGAGCCGCTATCGTGCCAAAACTATGCCACAGCATTGGGGCCAAGTCTGGCACCACCTCACGCTTTTTGCTGAAATATATCATAGATAGATAGATAAAATATTCAAACATGAGTAGAAAGTACAAAGTATTCTCACAAACCAGAGAATACACTTAACATATATACAATCAGCATAGCAAGAGCAAATTCAAAATTGTACTCAAGTTGGTCAAGTATAAAAGGGGGTTTGCTGAAATATATCATAGATGGACAGATAGACAGATAAAATATTCAAAATTCAAAATTCATTCCAACATGAGTAGAAAGTACAAAGTATTTTTACAAACTGCACTTAATATAAATACAATCAGCAAAGCAACAAAAAAAATCAGTATTATACTCCAGTTGGTCGAGTCAATATGGCCTTATTAATACATGATAACAAAATGGTAACACAATGTAAGCATTAGGAAAGTGCATGTGACACATTTACAAACAAGGTCTTCTCCAAAGACTCAGAGCTGTCCAACTGTCATTTGGACAACCATTGGCCTTAAAAGATGACCTATATTTTCAAGAACAGCTTACAGATTTTTAGGGAATTACCCAGTTGGTTGGTTGATTGGGTTTCCTTGGGTTGGACTCCCTGTTTATGGATGACAAAATTCAAAATTCCCATGTTGGACTCCCTGTACCCCTACCCCTGGGAGAAACCCTGCGTACAAACTACAGGCAAAAACCAGAGACATGTCATACAATTATAATATATAATGAGAAGTTGTAAGGCTCTTTGACTGTTTTAGTTTTTATCACTTCTTATTCCACCAAGAGTCTGCAGGAGCAACAGCTTACTAGTATGTTTTCAATATATTTCTATAGAATGATATAAAAGACAGGGGGAATGTTTCAATTCAGAAAAGATCTAATTAAGTCATGCCAAGCAACTCAACCCGATTGATAAGTAGAAGGGGACAGGTGTTAAGACATTATGTCCATTCATTTGTCTTCTCGATCAAAGTTATAAAACTGTGATTTTGTGTTGATGCCATTACCAAACCAGATTTTCTAAAAATGATCTTAGAAAACAGTCCCGAGTAAGACAGCCTGGTCATACCAAATCAGAAATGATGTCAAAGGAATGATATACTACTTACCCCAGAAAGTATATGTACACATTAATTTGTATTACCTGAGTTCTAATAAAGCATTTTCTCTAGTGTCAGGACTAGCAAGCTCTACAATCCACTGATAAATCTTTTCTCGGTCCACCTGTTGTAACACTGGAGGCTGTGGCTGCACCGGGGTCTGCACATTCATCATGATTTGAAGACGTCTGCTTGAATTAGAAATGAAAGAATTTGAGAAAACTGACAAACTCACAAAGTTGGGCGTGAACTGATGAGCATATTATATCAGGAAGCAATTATGGATGTTATTCTATATACCATACGATGGAGGGGACATAGTTTTTCAAATGGCGTTGAGACTCATAGCCTATCATATTTGGAGCACAAGATAACAGAGGTCCTGCCTGCGGTAAGTGTCGCAAACAAAGCCGAAAGCCGATGCAATTCCGTACAGTTGACGAGTTGTGTCATCAAATTAATATTAGCAATGACCATTGGTAAGGTTTACAAATTCCGCGGAATAAAATGCGGCTCTAATTTGAACATATTTGTTAAATTGTGCACCCTTATAATAACCTCATCTTCTCAATCTCATATTTGAATTACTTACCGATAATTTGCAGCTATTTGAGACTTACTATTTACAAACGTCTAAATTTTTCAATATGGCGACCTCCAGCGGTCTTTACAAGATAAGACATGCTGGAAGCTGTAGAATATTTATTGATGCCTTGTCAAACCCAGGCAATTTGATGGTATTTGAAGAATTTTGAATTATATATTTTTTAAGATTTCAAAATTATATGAATATATTTATTTGATGGATTCAAACCTTTCCCCGACTTTGTATTTTATTGGAAATATTCTTTTGTAAAGGAGGTATGATTTACTCACCACGAAGTTGGATCGTCTGTTTGCTGGGCTTAAATTTGTTTGTTTAACTTTAATTTGTTGATTTAGAGTGCTGTGGATGAAAATTCTGATTTTGAAAGAAAGTATATATTTTTGTACATTTAAATTCTTTACATATTGTTTATTTTAAAGACGTCATAAGTTTATGAACTCTGCAACTTGAAGTTCTCTACATGCGTAAAAAACTTTAATTGTTGTTGTTTCTCCAACATGATGTACTATTAATTTTTATTGTAGTACTCCCAAAGTCAGTATGTCTGAGATAGAGCAAAAAGATGAAGAAGGCGCAATTGTTTCCGAGGTTTTACATGACGCGTACGTACGTTTCTTTGACATTATATTGATTTTTTTTTTTTTTTTGAAACATAAAAATATACTTTAATTTGTCTGAGAATAACATTTTATACGGTTAATTTAAATGATTCTCTGTAGTAACTTGGGCATTGCATAAATTGATTTTAATCTATTTAGATATAACGAATCAATGAATATTAACCCCAAACTCTCCCACCCCAAATGATAGAAGATACTGGTAAATCCGATTTTTGATTAACAGAAACATTTGGACTTTGTTGTTCAAAAGGTACACAAGACTATAACAGTTTTCCTTTCCACTCTAGAGTTGGCAGTCCAAAAAGAAGAAAACTGGATGTAAGTAATACCATGATAGCTAAAAAAAAAGAGTTATTGAACCTGCGCTGTATGTATTCAGCTATTATGTATATTTTCAAGAAGTAAATGGTTAACTCATGACATTTAATCTTTATTTTAATTTTTAATTGAATTTTCCTTGCATCTTAAAACATTAAACAACCAGACTATCCTCATACTTTTAATAATTAAGTTCATTATGTCAAGATTATTGTTATGTATCATTCTGTAATCAATTTTTGAATTAAATTTATTTCATATCAAGATTTATAATAATAATAATAATAATAATAATAATAATAATAATAATAATAATAATAATAATTATTATTATTATTATTATTATTACCCTAATGATGGTAGTAAAATTTATTATTCATTTATTTTCATATATTGAGGGTGAAGGATTTGTCCTCCCAAGCACCCCGGATATCCCAGTAACTTCTGTTCACTATCCTGGTAATTGTGATAATAGAGGTATGGAACAAGAATCTGCCTCATGTGATGAAAAAACAGGTATTTTTCATTCCAAATCTCATACACTTTTCTTTATCACATTGATTCATTTTTTGGGATGTTTTTATTCAACTTTAGTCATGTAAAATATATTTTTTAATGTAACTATTAAATTTTTGTTGCTGTTTTTTTTTTTGTGTGTGTGTCAGTACTGTTTGTATCTTTGTGAATTTTTCACTGCATAATCTATTTCATATGATAAAGAGGAAAAAAAAAATCTCCCCCCTCCCTTCCCCCCCCCCCCCAAAAAAAAAAAAAAAAAATTAAGAGCTACATGTACTACAGTGCTAAGGAGTATTTGTTCCATGTCAGACTGTCAGTTTTTTATTGTAGATCTGGGTTTTTAATTCTTAGGCTAATGCATACTTGAATCTTTATTTTTCCTGTAAGATATGTCCAGTAGCTCTAAAACTACACCTTACCAAGACGGTGGCCAGTGCAGTGTCCAGGAGAGGTCAGCAAGTCAGTACAGCAGACCAGATGCTAAGTGTGGACAGGGCGATGGCCAGTTAAAGGAGACATCTTCACGTGGACCACTTCTCCCTGAGAATGATGGGGGCTGTAGCCAGTTTGCTGGTATGTGGCATGAAGCTAAGGCCTTTAGTCGAGTTGGGGGTGGGGTCAGGGGGTTTGGGGCGGGGAGGGGGTGTGTGAATGACGAGCCCATTTCGCTGGTAAAACACAGGTTTCATGGTAAAAGGTCCACTTTTTCAGACAAAGACACCCCCCTCTCCCAGAGAAGCTATGTAAAACATTCTATTAGAACTGCACTGATATTCATTTACTAGCATACATGTGTAGATTGAAAGTAGAAAAATTGATTTACTGGATATATAGAATGTTTTTTTTTTTAATCATTTGTTGTTCATTTCATATCAAGGTGCAGTAAGGTGTGAAGCGAATAGCAAAGGTGGACGTAGCAGCCCTTGTGACAGCCAGCTTACTCTATTGACTGGTGGTACAGTGGCCAGTGGGATGGTGTTTGGTGGAGGTGATAACAGTGACAAAAAAGGACAGTTTACATGTGTGGACAGCAACATGAAACAAACCATGATGTGGCTGTTAATGAAGGGTAGATATTTGATTTATAAATTATAGCTAATAAATAAGAGACTTATTCTGATGAACTTGAAGAAATGAAAAAATTATTGATCAGTTTTAAGGATTCCTCCTGAAAAATACCTTTTCAAAAATATGTGTGAAGACAACTGCACCCCCCCCCCCCCCCACTCCCTGATAATATAACTTAAGGTGATTCTACATGTCTGAACAGTAATATGATGATTTGTAAATGTCCTGTATCTAAGTTAACTTAAGAGTTAGCTCAACAATATTCTATGTACTGTAATAGTGTGGTATAAAGTGCTTCCTTCAGTTTTCATACAGATTTTAAATAAATTGATGCTGCAAAAAATAATGAAATATGATAAAAAGGAAATTGAGACATGACATAGTTTATATTATGACAAATATTTATGGCAGCATTTACAGAAGCTGGCTAACAGATCTGTGGATCAAATATGGCCGACCCACTTGAATGCTTTTTGCGTAGACCCCATGGGGGATCTGTTTAGTATCTGTTAGGGGATTATGCAGCAAGCTTTTAAGGCTCTATTCCCATAGATTTTAGATCGATATATCCCCGTGGGGAGTCTCACTAGATTACTTTCAGATAATCCGACTTAAAAGTCCGTCCCGCCTACTACAAGCTGTAAGGGGGTAATTAACTTTGGTGTCCGCCCGGCTGACAGCTATTTAGCGTGAACCCCCAGGGAGTTAGGTCGATCGAAAGTAGGTCGATCTAATCTATGGAAATGGGGTGTAAGTATCGGTAGGTTGCCATATTACATCTGTGGACTAGACCGTGAATGTTGCTTATGATGTTTGTTTTCCAGACCTTGAACAGCAGTCAAGACCACTGTATCAGAATTGGGCACAGAGGTTCAGGTGGGTGCAACAGGCCCGTAGCCAGGGGGGGTTCGAGGGGGTTCGAAAGAACCCCCCTTTTTGCTGGAAAAAGGTCCACTCTGGGTATAATTTGACCTAGGTACATGGGGATTATATGGTAAAAGGTCCACTTTTTTAGAAAAAGAACCCCCCCTTTGAAATTGCTGGCTATGGGCCTGGTGCAATTCCCGAAGCAGTCCAAACTGTTATTGAGTGTCATTTATGTCTATTTATCTGCATGTTTTTTCATATTAATTTTGCTGATGTATTAGATGATTAATTTAAAATACTGTGGTCATTAGAACAAAGAGGGAAGAACAGAAATGTAAAAAAAAAAGGTAAAAGGTAGAAAAAAAGGAAAAACTGATGAAATAAAATATCTTTGTTATTTAGCCATATCAAAATGATAATTTTTATTCACTGAATTCTGAAAGAGGGGTCAATTCGTTGTTTTTCAGTGAAAGTGAGAGGTTTGAGGAGTTCTGCAACCTTCGCCTGGATAAGTTAATTGAGGAGGCGCAGTCTGCTGAAGCCAGCTTAAAACAACAAAAGGAAGAGCTGAAAAATAGGCTAAAGATCATCTCAAGATCTCTGCAAGATGACTGAAAGATTAGTGTTATGAGGGATGTATCATCATGAAGTAGTTTTCTTTTTGGTTGTTTTATTGATATGAGATATTTAGAAATACAACAAAGGATAAGCAGGTAACAAGGTCAACAACTCCACACCAGGCAAAAGGATTCATGATACACAGATAATTGACATGACGCTTAAACTTTCAAGATAGATGTGGATTTGCATGAAAAAGCATCCACTGATTTTTTTTGTATCAGATAATAGTTTCCATTTTTCTTTTGAAAAAATACCAAAAACAAGTTACTGTTTGCCATTCAGTGAGAGGAAGAACAACATGCGATTTTTTTAAATATATATTCTGCGCGTCAGAATATTGTATATGGCACATTTTTGTAATAAATGAAATGCGATGACTTGAAAGTGAAAAATGGACATGAAAAGAAAAAACTAATCAACCATTGTAGATAGCACATGTAGCAACCATTACGATGAAAGCGTGACCAAAAAGCTGACACGAGGAAACGTGAGACGGAGAAGTACAGATAAATTATACAAACTGACAAAGCAGTTTAATAAATGCCATTTTGTGAAAATCTTCATGGTTTAAAAAAGTTATTTATCATATTACCACACTGTCACTATTGGTTGAAAGGGAATGCGATTCTGACAATATGTGTAGTAATGATAATTTATATGTACAACACTACCGTAGTACTGTACATGTATATTCAGGTATGCATGTATCTAACAAAGAAAAAACTCCACGTGTCTTGCATAGACATTCGTTTGTGTTATTATGAATAATTGTTTTAGCACAAGGGATTTTTTATTTTTGTAGACCTCTCTTGGCTTGTCAACTTTTTACTCGAATTATTTTTCACTTCTTACAAATCTTGAGACATGGATTTTTTTTCCTTCGGCATTTCCTTCTCTCTCCCAGGGTCATATATTGAACTTCTACTAGATATTTACAGACGTGTCTCTAGCTAATTCATGACACAATCCTCTGCCAAAATGATTTAAGTAGGCCTATGACATTTTGAAATTTCACCATAACGAGAACTCGTGAGCCAATGCGTAGAGGCAGGGGTGGTCAAAAAAGGGGTATCTTTTCAGCCAAAGTGCTACAAATAGCTGTACCTTAACTTAATCGCATGCATGGAGGGCATTTATTAGCACGTATATTAATTAAAAACTATAGTGACCCAGTGGAAGACCCAGAATAGGCCTACAGCTTCCATCCTCCCTTGAGTTATAATTTTTTTCAGCGACCCAGGGTTTTGTTGCAACGGAGGGAGGAGGGGGGGGGGGGTACAAGATTTAAAATATTTGTCTGGCTTCGCTCATCAAACAAAATCACGGCAGTTTTACCATCACATGTAAGTCAAGAAAATCGTATCGCTTTCTATACCGTTTTTTCGTTGGAAGGGGAGAAGCGGTTGCCTTGAAAGCTAAGGGAAGGCAATTAATGTGGCAATGAGCATTGAAAAGTTTAGAAAAGAGCATAGGGCTCAAAATTAATCTCATAAAAATATGCGTATTAATAAACTTATTATTATTATTATTATTATTATAAACTTCTTATTATTGGTATAGGCCTAGGACTAATGTTTTAACTAATGTTTTAATGTATTAAAATACTAATTAAGATTGGCATTGATCGTCTATTATTTTTAATGTCCCGGTCCTATCAGTATAAATACGGGGTCTAAATAAAGCCTGTTTGCCAATAACAACTCTAGTTAGATTGCTTATTATCAAGGAAAATGTGCCCACTTTCTATCTGGAAAGTTGCTATTGATCACGTGATGAAAAATTCCCCTGGCTATTTATAGCACACGACGATTACAATCTATATAAATCGATCGGGGTTTTTAGTCATAAACAAAAGTACAAAAAAAGAGCGGAATAAGGCAGATTTTAAAGGGGAAGATTCTGTTCAGGTAAGACATCATGCATGTGTCGATGTGTCCCCCGTCTTTCACAAATTCTTCTTTTTAAATGTAGACTTAAGTCGAAGAATGCTGGCGCTAAAAATAGAATTATCCTTGTGACTTTAACCGATGAACTGAAACGGAAGCTTTAAAGGTAGGCCTATGTCCCGGGTTATTAAAGCAAACGTACATATATATACGTATCATTGGAGATATAGCGGGATAAAAAGTCGTAAGAATGTTTGTTTTCCTAAAAATGGCCCCTCTCCTCAATGTAAAATGCAAGGGTCGAGCTGCCCTCCCACACGCAGTAGGCCTACAAATTCTAGCTAGCTCTTAACTTTTAGGGCCATTGTAATTTACTCTATATGAGACGCCAGCTTTGTGAACAAACTTCCATACGTAAATCCCAGCTGGACAGAGTCTAAAAATGTGTGTCGAAAACAATCTATGGGCCTGGTAGAGGGCAGTGAGAGTATTATTATACATGTAGTATACAGGCCTACATATATAGTACAAGCTATAGGCCTATACGTTCACAGACAACTAGTACAAAAAGGCATTCAGGTAACAGGTCAAATCAGCAATGAATTCAATAGCATATGATACCTCTTCATAATCATAAATTGCTAGCCTGTATCAAGCCTGCTCAGTCTAAAAAACCTACATTAAATTCATCCTATTTACACATTGCATAAATGTACGTAGGCTATGTCAATGTTTTTCACCTACTTTCGTTTTAGCCTTCAACCGTATATTGTCACACTGTATCAACTGTACGTTTTTGAGTGCACGTATTTATATGAATGTATGAATGTCTATATTAGTCGTTATCCAGATTGAGTGAAAGAAATGCGTTGATCAAATTTGTTTAGGTAGGCCTACTTTTCCACTTCGCTATTTTTGTTTTCACTGTGACTAACAGTCATGTGAGAGGCAAAGAAGCATGGATGAACTACCGGGAAAACGAACCTAAAACAAAACCTCACAGATAACATGTACCCTCTGATATCAGACCCCCCCCCCCCCAGAAAAAAATACTATACAAAATCACACTGTGAAGCCCTGTGGGAATCGGTGCACTTTAACAGTCCGACCCCCCTACTTTTCACTTTTTGTAGCAGACTACCAGCGCCCTCTATGGCCAGGGAGAAGATTACATGTACCCCTATAGCCAGCGCATTACAGTAACCTACTTTCGTTTCAGTGTTTCCCCGTATTCAATCCGTGAGGGCACAGTCGGAGACATAATGGCCGAAGCACCCCAGTGCGCCGTTCCTATGGGCCAGTACATCATTAACTTGATGCATAAACTCGGCCAAGGAGGATTCGGCGTGGTTTATAAGGGAGTGGACACAAAGAGGGATGTCGAGGTCAGTTGGTGTGATGAAAAAAGAGTGACTGTGTGTGTGATAGAATGAAATGGATAAAGAAGCAAAGAAAGAAAAGAAAGATGAATGAGAGAGATAGAAAGAAAGAAAGAAAGAAAGAAAGAAAGAAAAAGGGAAGGAAAGAAGTATAGCTGAATAAGGTCTTTATACAGTAGGCCTATATATATGTTTTTATATGTCATGCCTGTAGGGAAAAATGGAACCTTAAAATACTGAAAAACATTGGTTATAAACAGGTAAGTGGTGTCTTTCAGATCATATTCTCAAATTAGTTTTATGACATTAGTAAACGATTTTTTCCTTACCAGGTGGCAGCAAAACAGATAGAAATTCGCCGCGAGAGAGGCGGAGCCGACGCAATGGCGGAGATAAAAATCCTTCAAAAAGTTCCAGAACACGTTAACATAATAAGACTGTATGACTTTCATTTCTTCCGTAATTCTTTCTGGATTATAATGGAGTATTGCAATTGTGGAGATCTGAGAGACTATTTAAAGAAATACGCGCCTGTTGCCTTGGCAACAAAGGTTGATTTCATGCGTCAGATGGCAGCAGCGGTTCACCATATGCACACGCTGCCCGAGCCTGTTGCACACAGAGATCTGAAACCGCCAAATATGTAAGTATTAAATGCAAAAAAATGTAAACTCTCTCTCTCACACACAAAGCGCCTTAATTTACAGTTGTTCTATGCAAACGTGCATAGTTAAATGCACTGTTCAATCGCATGAAATAAATACAGAAGTGTTAAATATTGTTTAACGTCATTTAAAGTATCTTTAACTCAAGCCTAAAGTATCATTAACCTCTTTTATGGCATTTTTTTCAGCCTACTGCGTTATACTGGGAGTGATGAGAGACCTGTTATCAAAGTGACGGATTTTGGGCTGTCGAAGGTGGCAGACGTTGATCTCAGTAAGACCTTCATGATGTCAACACAGGCGGGAACCCCGTGCTTTATGGCACCCGAACAATTTGGAAGAGAGGGGTAAATGTGTTAGTTGTGACTGTGTGATCATTGTGTTTGGTGTGATAGTAAATTTCAAATACACGTGCCAGTGAGATTATTATTAGATATATATAATTAAACAAAAGTGTTGGTGTTATCAAAAGGCCTGGAACAATAAAGTTCGAGTAATACTTGGGTAATTTTTAATCGTATTTCCCACTGGTTAATACTTGAGAGTGTATTTTTAGTACTATCTAACCTCGTTACCATGTAATTGTGAACCATGCAGGTAATAACATGATATAAGGGTTAAATCAAATTTATATATCCTCCTCCATTTGGATTTATCCAAATTTGATAATGGTGTTTATTTTACAAGGTATACCGCCTCCGTGGACATATTTGCCTTGGGACTGATGTTTGTCGGGATGATCAATTTTGAAAAGACGGGCGATATAATACCGACAATTCCTGATAATCCAGGTAGGAAACAACACACTGTATTCATTTATTTATTTATTTCACTGCGATTGTGGGCGTGGAAGTCATATTGATTATTTAAATGCCCACTTAGAAAAATTACTATGGTTTTAACAATGGTTTGTTAGGATGATTGGCCATTTACTTTTTTGAGAGTATTTTGCAACTATTAAGACTCACGTACTGACCAATATATTAGAATGCATTTTTTGCTTTTTGTAAGGAAACACATTATAAAATTATGCATTATATTTTCGAATTGAAATCCGCAATATTGACAAGTCCCCCCCCCTTTAAAGTATTATCCCAGCGTTGTAAAAAACAACATCAAATAAAAAATGTACACTTTGTAATCAAATTCTTTATATTCTCCAAGGTTCCATGTTAGCCTGCATGATAATGCCGATAGGGATCCAAATGAACCAGGCAGCCAAGACAGGCGGGAGGCCAGTCCGCGTGGTGAAACTGGAGTCAAGTGATGACCCAGTATTAAAACAGGTGAAAGAGTTGATACAGAAGATGGTTCTACATAAACGGGAGGACAGGTGTACGTCACAACAGGTGTTTGACTCCATCAATCGTATCTATGGTAAGAGCCACTGCATAGCTTATAAGTTGTCAATGGCGCCAAATTTGGATACGCTTCCATCGGATTTGTTTCAAATTTTAGTACTTAATGAAATGGTTTGAACTAACTTTAAATAGATAGTTGATACACGTATTGTAATGTAATGAACCCATATATAAGACCTTTTTTTAGATATTTTGGGAATTTTTAGGAAAAGGGCCTTTAAATTCGATCATGTTGTGCAGATTTTTAAAATTCAGAGGAAATCAAGTCAAGCCTGCCGCCTCCACCACCACGACCAGGCAAAACCGGTGAAACGGCCCGCTCCAGAACTCCGCTAGATGTCGACACTGACGCGGCGGCCGCAGCTGCGGTGGCTGGCTTGGATGACGATGAAGATGACCTTGGTTATAGACTTCTCCGCCAAGCCATGCAGCAACACATGGAGGATAAGATTCAAAAAAGAAAGAAGGGCGGCCGTAAAGATGCGCTGCTGAAAGAGCTAGGAAAAGGGGTCCCGCTTCTAGAGATGTTGCTTCATCACGCGATTGATGACGATAGCCCAGAGAGACAGAAAGGAAAGCGCAGAGATGATAGTGATGACGACGTATGTCTATCGTTCAGATTTTCTTTTTTCTCTTTTCTTTCGCTGCTTCATTCACTTTTTAAGATTCAATTTATCATTGTTATTTCCTTTTATCCTGTTTGCGTCATTTTTCATTTTACTTTTTCTTCTCTCTCTCTCTCTCTCTCTCTCTCTCTCTCTCTCTCTCTCTCTCTCACACACACACACACACACATACACACACACACACACACACCTACGAAAAATAAGTCTGGAACACTTCTCTCTTGATTTTATTAAAGCAATAGTAATAATAGAAGTAGTGGTGTTTGTATATTAACACAGATTAACTGCATTTCATTAACCTGTATGTAAGAGACATGCTTTAATTTTCTTTATATTTTTCTTGGGATTGCTTGTATGTGTTGTAAACAAATTTCGCCTCTTGTGATGTTATATTTAATTTCTTCAATTCCAGTTTCCAGTAGGGAGCAAAGTTCGCGTCATGGACGTGGAAGTCTCCAGGGCCAAGGAGATGCAGCGAAACTATGGGGGGTGGGTGGATCTGATGAAACACGTAAGTAGAACTCGCCAAGAGATCGATCAAGAAGCCTGTTTTAGCAAGAAAATTGGCCTTTAGTTGAGACAGAAGTATTTGGTCCATAATTTTAAGTCTATATTTGAAGACAGAAGTTTCTCCTTTTGGAATCGGTGTCCCATTTATATCCTTTTTGGAAAGGTTCATGAGCCTCTTCCATTTTGTTTTGGAATTAATCATAGGGGCAACCTTCTGATTCAGGTCTTTAATCCCCTTTAATTTTAGATTCAACAGGCCGTTCAAAATTGAATCGTGGATACTCTTACATTTTACAACACACAAATTGCTCCATCATAGATTACAAAAATTCAGATTTAAAACTATTAAATATAAGCATTGCAAAACGTGGTGTTTATTTATGTTTAAGTTATAAATTATGTATTATTTTCCTGTAGTACCTTGGCAAAGAAGGCACTGTGGGGGAAAAATTGCTGCACACTATACAAGTGAGGTTTTCAGACGGCCTAAAGTAAGTTAAAAGAACATTATACGCCTTTTGTGTACCCTCTGCCAGGGTCGCAGATATTTTGGCACATTTTCCACATCACTGTTCGGAGATTGCCGATATGTAGCCGGAGACATTATCTGTGAATATCTAACGAAAAATCAATCTGTGGCTTTGGTAGAGGGTACCTTTTGTACCCTAATTTCCTTAGATAACGACTTTTAATAACTGTAGTAATCAATAATATAATCCAGATCATGTCTTTTTGTTTACATCAAAATTAGGTCATATCATAGACCATAAATTTGAAAAACAAAATATTAGAAAAGATGACATGATGAATCGAAACGCATTAGTCTGCATAATCTTTTATTACTCAGTGGTACAGTACATTTATTAAAATCTGAGTGAAATGGGCGATCCTATAATTTTTTAATTAAATTGTGTTTGGTAGTCTTTTTTTCTTTCTCAAAACTATACTTATTTCTGTTACAAACAACAATTACCCCTTATTAGGCCTATTTGGACTGTCTCAAAGAATGAGGATGTTACATGAATTGCACTAAATATATGACGTCATTTCATGCTCAGATGGGCCTGGAACCCCGCCCTGCTTCAGAAGATCAATTCAGACGGCACGGCAAGCGAACAGAGTAGACCACGAGATAAACGAGAGAGTAGACGGGACTTTATTGGCACCCTCTTTAAGCGGTATGATGTGGTGCAGATTGCATCGGAGGAGAGCGTGGTCAAACTTCTTCAGGAGGGACACGGGGGATGGATGGACGAGATGAAACAAGTACGTGACGTCACGTCAGTGACGTATCAACACGATTTGCATAATTTGCATATAATTTGTTTTATATGTTTTTTTATTCAAAAATACCTCTTTGACTGCTATATTTAATATTCTTTAAAGCGTTCAAATCATGTTTTGTCATATGATTCTTGCTCTAGATTGTGCTTTTTTCTTTCATATTCAGAATGTCGGCGTGAAGGGGATAGTTAATAACATAGACAGCAACGGGGACGTGTTTGTGGAGTGTATTAACGGTGGGAAGTACGTTACATATTTTACAGTTCTTTACTCTTGTATTTATCAATTTATCCTTTTTCTAAAGATGAGGCGTGTAAAAGACGAAAAAAATGCATTTGCTATCAAATTGCTTTGACCTGTTGGTTCATATTTTGGAATATTCCTGTAAAGAGTCAGTGTACACGAAAAAGCATATGGTGTGTGTGTGTGTGTGTGTGTGAGAGAGAGAGAGAGAGAGAGAGAGAGAGAGAGAACACTTAATGTAAAATCTACACACAATTCAAATTCGAGAGAGAGAGAGAGAGAGAGAGAGAGAGAGAGAGAGAGAGAGAAATAAGGGGACTGTTAAAAAGATTGAGAGACGCAGATATGTAGAATTTTACTTCCCTTTATCCTCGCCTCCGAACTTCAATCAGTGAAAGTATCGCAACTGAATCGAAGAACAAACACTAACTAAACTACTAACTAAAGTATATTCCAGTATATTGTATCAAAATTACGAGCTGCAGTTCTTCCCCGACAGGTGGTACTTCAATCCAGAAGTCCTGATCAAGGTGGACCCTAACCCCAACCAGGATTTCGACGCCGGGGACTTCGTCATAATCAAAGATGTCGAGGTATCGGAGGCCAAGGCTCTACAGGCTGGCCACGGAGAGTGGCACTCCAGTATGGAAAAGGTAACTTTGTATTCAACATTATCTTCCATGCAATTTTTGAGAAATGATTATATGTACTATTTTAAAAAGTCGTGGCAGGTATAGAACTCTACACGGATACAGAGAATACAATAGAGTCTTCTTTCTCAAGGCCTGATAATATTTTTTACTTGTGAAACGGGTTATTTCTTTAGTAACAGGAATAGATTTTCTGTTTCCATACTGTCCAAATTATGAAGTGGATCGAGTCTTCTGTAAACAAAACAGAGCTGAGCGACAAATTCACTGAGGTCTCGATTTTTTTTATCTTATAAGGCATGGTCTTCCTTGGGTTTGAAGTTCTTATGTAAAACCTCTATGATAGGAATGGTAGTCCTAGGAATGGAAGTCCGGGTTCCCATATGATTAGTACAGATAGGGTTTGTCGGAGTATTGGGGTGGGTATTGGGGACTAGTGTCACCAGTACAAAGTAATAGGGAACAGACTACAGCTCTTAGCAGACTATCATTCCTGTCGCACCAGTCATATTTAAGCTCATTTAGCAACAGGCACAAGGCAGACACAGTAAATTACGTACACGTGTAATTCATATTGCAGGCGCTGGGAAAGACGGGTATCGTGAAGTCAGTCCTGACAGGTGACAGGGTCAAGGTCGAAGTGGCAGGCCACACCTGGATCTTCAACAAAGCTCTGCTGCTACTGGTGGCTAATGCAGGTGAGGAGCCGTCCTAAAATGACGGGGATAACTAATCAGTTTTTCTTTTGAAGAATTAACGGGTTGTGAGAGTTGAGGTATTAGTTAATGTACAGGTGCAGTATGTGTAAGTTGTTATCCGTCATCCACTGTAGCTTTGGTATATTATTTTTCAACAAATCTGCGTGTGTTTAAACTATTTTAAATTTTGTTTTAAGTGATTATGGAATCGTTTGGTGGACTAATTTATCTACTTTTAGTTAATAGGGCCTACAAAGATCTCCTAGTACATATCGTACTCTCTCTCTCTCTCCCTCTCTCTCTCTCTCTCTCTCTCTCTCTCTCATATCCATACCTCTCTATTTCAGAGGAGATGATGCATGGTATCCTACTAAAGAAAATGAACCGATGAAAAGGATTAACACCGTCTGGTGATATACAAGACAAGATACAATAAAGTATTACTTAATCTATTCTTCAAAGGTTTACATAACATTCATTCACCAGGAGTCTAAAGTTTGGAAGAAGTTGTAAGTGAATAGCTTTTGTTGCCATCGGAATAAACAAAAAAAATGCAATAGTAGACATTTCACAACAAAACGCTTGCGACATTTATGTGTGTAATTATCTAAGATGGACTACCGTAAAGTCATCCTGAGTTTTAAAGGCCGCAGGGACTTGGTTTTAGCCTTAGTTATATATATAGTATAACTATCAATTAACGTATACTGGGTATTCTGAAACGTCGGTACTCTGAAACCCAGGATTTTGGTGTGTTACTAAAAGCAAAGCCCTTAAAATAGTCAATTGCTTTCTATGGTTTTTATAAAAACTTAAAAGTCACTATTGAGCTTAGATCGCAGGCTTTAAATGTACCACAACAAGTTTTTAAAGAGACAGAGAATTTGGAATAATATCATTCACAGATTAATTTTATGAATGATCTGTTCTTTTGTACATTTTGAAAATAAAAGATGTTGTATTTATCGTATTCTGTGACTCAAAATCGCAGAGGAGCATGACATGTACAAATACTTATATCAATGACCCCCTTCTTCCTCAACAAGGCATTGTGACAGATGTGACAGGTAACGACTCAACTAACGCATTCGCATTTATTAGCACAACAAGTGCGCTGCTTGAGGAAAGAGAGGATGTTTTACGCCGCAGCTACTTCGTGAAAACTTTCACTGACTGCACAGACTCTACCAAACACTACATGTACCTTCAGAAATTTTACATTTAGATTTGATTTTTTCGTAAATGCCACGTTTATTATTTTTTTTTATAATCGCTTAAACCACTGTATACTTAGGCTTCTAGTCTACCGACGATTATTAAGTAGGTCTATCCTCTCGTCTCTCTTTTATTTCTCCCTTCTTCATTATTTCCACGCTTGTCTCCAAGGCCATATTTTATATAACTGAGCAAAAGTGGCTAAAAAGTGACTTTAAAAAAAGAGAGGAAAGGTATAATTTGCGGAAGCTTTCTTTTTCACGCCTTGAATCCATTTTTTTCTTCTCGCTTATAAATAAATAAACGAAATTAAAAACATGCACTTCTTCATTTTTTTTTAAATTTTGCTATAACCAGGAAGACATGGTTTTATAACTGAGGTCCTTACGTCATGTTTTATGCCACGTGACCCCTAACAATCATATAAACACACGTATGCTGTAGTCGACACCAATATATATTTTGCGGGTGAATTCCCCAACATAACAGCCATATGAAAACTGTAAATATTATCCTACCCTTTCGCGCAATGTACAGATGTATAGGACGAATAAATTCGGACAATGACGTTCTTTATGATGATTTGATTACGGGCTAATGGAGACAAATGTGGACTATATTATGCTTGTATTGTACGATATATGAAACTTGTGTTGAGGTATCAGTGTCTAAAGCACAGGTGCAAAGATATATATATACCTCAGTTTTTGGGTGGACTTGAGCCGTAGCCAGCAATTTCAAAAGCGGGTTCTTCTTCGAAAATAAAATGGACCTTTTACCATGAAACCTTCATGCAGCCTACCTAGATCAAATTTTACCCGGGTGGGGGGGGGGGGGGACCTTTTCCCAGCAAAATGGGGGGGGGGGGGAGGGGGGTTTGGAACCCTCCGAACCCCTCCTGTCCACGGTCCTGAAATGAGACATTTCTCTCTGAGCAAATTCTATTCACCCGCTGTGTCAAAATGTCTAAGCTATTCCCTGCGGTGTTAACTACAGTAGTACTATCCTTCAAATAATTAGCTATGAAATTCAGGGTAACTTGGGAGGGGAGAGAGCGAATTCTTTCATACAGCGGCAGGGTAGGGGCGCACACCACGGGCAAGAAATTAAGGCTGTTCATAACATAAGTCAGCAAGTCAATTTAAAATCATGGATTGCTCAATGAAGCAGACCTTTCCACCCACACCCCCAATAAAAATTAAAAAAAAAAATGATAAGAATACGAGAGGAGTAACAATGACCAAAGAGTACAGGAGGCAGACAAGGTAAACTTTCTTATAGCCACAAAGCCTGTCATAAATGATTTATTCACGTTTACGTTTTGACGCCCACATACAGTAATGAGAGCACAGAAAACGACCCCAGCGCTGCGAAAACGACTATCCCCACCCCCCCAAAATACACACACACACACACACACACACACACACACACACACACATCTTTACCAATCTGACTGGCGGGAAATTGGTTGTGATAAAGCAAATCAATGCATTGGACAAACTACGGTGATTTAATATATTACAAAATGCTTCGTGTTAAGAAAATGGTTTTCTTGTGAGGGTCTGGAGTTTTTGTCAAAAGAATTGCAACTGTCAAGGACAGTAATATACGGAGTGACAAATGGGAGAGTTAAGAAAAGAAAACGCCAGCGGGTCATTAATACCTTCTGAGTCATCAAAACTCGGGGACGGAATGTTTTTGTTCTCTCGTCTCTCAAGGCGGTAATAACATTGTAGAATTCTTTCAAATGATGCAGATATTTTTATCTGGAAAACAGGTGGCTTTGTGGCTAAAATGAGACGACAGTGGAACGCTCTGTATAGTCCTAGATAATTCAGTTGCATCTGCACTGAGCAAAAATATATTAACACCGGTGCAATACTTTAAAAGTTTTATCAGCTTTGTGAGTTATATTAAATCATACAAGTTTATTTTTGTTGTGTTTCAGATTACTGTACAGTTATAAGACTAGAACATATCATTTATAGTCGCCCATTACGTATTACATAAATATTTTACGTTAATATTTTTACTTAGGTAAATTCGTTTATTTGGAAGATAGCCCTGAAGGGAAAACTTTGCCAAAACACATTAAGAATCGTGTAATCTTTGTGCAATCTGTCAAAGTCAAAATATGTTTCGTTTTTTTTTTTCTTTAACAAATTTGTTGTTAACTTTCCTTATTATCCAGTTTTGATAATTCAAACTGATGCCTGATGCTAAAAAAAAATTCATTTTCTCTTTTCGCACATTCTCATTAGTATTTTAGTAGCTGAGAAAACGAAAAATACCCTTCGATTAACAATTCACAACTGTAGCATCTGCTGCGCAATCAGCCAGCACAGTTTAGTAAAATATCACAGCACTCTCTTACTTCTCCGGGGATTAATGGTCGGTCGATTTGAACATTAGGGAAAGAAATCCCTGAATTTGTGAGGGCACTCGAGACCAAAAAAAAACTTATAAGTTTATTGTCCCAGATGTCCCGTGAACCTCGAGGTAAACGCCGAGGTAGGCACAGACAGGTGATTGTTTTTACGTTGGGCTCAATCACCACAAATCTGGACGCCCTTGAGCCGTTTATTACGTGGCCACTCATTCATGTATCGATATGATAGATAAGAGCTGTGCACAGGTGTCGGCAGCGAGGGCCTGTACTCTGCGCAAGGTGATCCAAGGGAAGTCACCCGAACTCTGCTGAAGATACATGTAATTTCACCTTGCTGTCCAATTTTCGATCACACAGTGGCGCAGGTACTGTATCTGCGCTTTGGCGTGTAACAAAACCGAAATCATTTCCATTACGCAATTGTTTTAAACAGATTAAAGCCCTGCGTAAGACAGCCAGCCATTTGGTATGATTTAAACACAGGTACAACGTTTTTTCTTTCTCTCCTTTGCTTTATCCGAGAGCACAGCGTAGAACAAGGCGCTCATGGCAGAGCCATGTGAGAAGGGGCTTACAATATTACATAAAAGCGCACTCAGGCACTGTTAAAGGAAACGAACAATTTGGGGGGGCCCTCTCCCTTCTTCGTCGACACCCTTGGTGTAGTTGTGTGAGAGAAACGAGTTAGGGAGTATTTTGACACTCTCACCCAGAGCTCTGTCGAAGGCGGTAAGATTGACGTGCAGCAGAGCTGCGCCGAGTTAGGATGGACATATATAGCCCTACGATCACATGGTATGCTTGCACGCAGAGGTCGGAAAAGGTCAAGCAGCCAACACGGAGTGCAGGCAGCGAAAACAAAGAAGGCTGTTGCCGTTCAACTGAACACAAAGTTTCCCGTGGAAAGAGGGAATTCGCACTGAAAGCTGCCGCATATCGGCCGATCCCGCCGGCAGCTTAATAACGTTACGTGAGAACTGCTGCGTACGGTGCGCATAGGTAAACGCTCGTTAATGGGCACTCGCTTTACTTAGACTTAAAAGTGTTGTTTAAGCCGGACAGTGAAAAGCTGTGGAATTACGAGAAATACCTCAATTCCGAGGACAGGTATTACGAGGTGAGGGAAGCCAGAATGGACGAGTTCACTAGACGATCGAGTTGAGACCACACTATATACACACCGAGAGCTCTGTTCGGTAAAATAGAGAGAGAGAGAGAGAGTGTGGTCGGGACGCTGCGTTTAACATTACGCTGGGAAAACTACAACTGCTTGCCTTCTCTTTGATAGGCCGCAAGTGAAACCTAAAGCGTTGGACATATTTCTGTAACGCAACACATCAGGGTCTATTTATATCGTCCCGTTGTTGCATATAAAACTGGAGGTGAGCGAGAGGAGAGAGTAAGCCGGAACGTCTATTTAAAATCAATTAATGAACAGCTGATAAACGGAGAGCGTCCCCTTGCGCGTTCACGCTGAGGTCAGAAGAGAAGTTTATTTCAATATCGCAGTTATTACAGTACGCTGGTTCATAGAAAAAGGAACAAACAGCCGGCTGATGCTAAAAATAGAATCGTCTGCTTCCACTGATCGGGGAAAAGGAAAGGAGAGCAACCGTCTGCACAAACAGTTTGGAAGACTTAACCTTAAGAAGCGAGGTTTATCATCATGTGTTAGACTAAGGGGTTATAATGCTGAAGAGAGTTTTGGATGTCGTGAGTTAACCTTCGTCTGTTTGGGTGACTACACTTCAACGAGAAATCGGAAACGTCATATTGAAGGGAAAACATCGTGATAGCAGTGCAGACGATATTTTGGTTGTCGTAAACAAAATCGTCTGCATCTATATATTTCTGCAGTGGAGGATTGATTGCCGTAAACACTCGTCGTCTGCTGTTACTACGCCAATCGAACGCTTCGCAGGGGGTGAGATCGGAACCAAGACCCTCTTCTCTATCAGTGTACGATGCATATAGCGCTTTCGCTATGGAGTCCGATGAGGAAGATCTCTCAGTCTACACCATCCAAAAACCTCCCAGTCGAACTTGGAGAAGATGCATGCACCCCCATGGTTTCTCGGATCGGGAGCTGGAGGAATTGTACCACAATTATGTATTTCGTTTGGAGCAGAGTTCCATCGCTTCTTTACTGGTTCTATTCATCCTTCTCACGGCAGTTTTGGCGATTGTTCACTTCATCTACATCCTTCAGCCCACTGTGGCTAACGTATACTACTGCGCCAACTGCGGGATATTTTTGGTCTTCTACATCTTTATTAGTACCAAATATTTCCAGGAACGCCATCTAAATTTAATGGCGTATGCGGTGTTGGTGCTTCTGGGGGCGTTCGCTGTGATCTCCCTCCCGGTGCATTTTCTCCCCGGGGACCGTCCCGTGTACAGCCCGGCCGACGGGGTGTGGGAGAGTGTGTTTGTAATATTAATGGGCTATGCAATGATGCCTCTGAGAATGTGGATTTTGGTCGTATATGGAATATTGCTGTCAGGGTGTCACATGGTGGTCGCAGCGTTCCTCGCCAACAGCTTGCCGTCGTTGCTATGGAGACAGGTAAGTAATCATAGTTTGCAACATTGAATCTGGATTTAGTGTGGGATTGCAAAATAAGTGTCACTGAGCCGCTGATTACTTTCCCCGATTATCTTCGGTTTATATGCGTCATAATCCAAACGATCATTCCAAACGTGTCTTTTTATGGTTATTACACTTTCTTCGATTTAATTTATAAGCACCTATTAACTTATTCTTGCACTCTCTTCCGAGCAACAGATGTTTCAGAACGAAAATTACAAATTAGGGCAAACTAGGAATTAAAACTAAGACGATAGCATATCCAGTTGTAATTATCTGCATGCAATTTTTCGTGATTGATAAGTGCATTTCGACCATGTATACACATTTGATGACCAAAGTGACAAATACACGTTTGTTGTCTGACAGACGAAAAGAGCAAAAAATTATTAGTATCAGTTCTATTAGGGGTAACTCAAAATACTGCAAAACAGTATAACACAAACGCGACACATTAGCATTAAAATAATCGTCGCTCGAGCCTTGATAGATTTTATCTAAGCTCGCCTCTTACGTTTACTGTATCAACGAGTGCCCCCGTCAATACATTTGGAAAAAACTACTAAATCATCGAGGTCGCCAGGTAAATTCCTTTATTGGATTTTTTGAGCGTCCTAATCCCGTAAGCGGTCCTCCTAGTATCGTCAAGATACTTAACGTTCGTACGTGGGAGTCTCCTAATTGACAGCGACACCCCAATCAATTTATATTCCACTGTCAAGATGCTTCATCTTAAAACTGGTATTCTGGCTTCGGGGAATGCAACTCCTGCCTGTATTTTACAGGTGTTGACATGTATTAAGCCTGGAAGAATATAGGCTCACAAATGATATGAACGGCGCATTAGTTTATCATCGGGTTCCGAAGTCGGTCACCCTGAGCTTCAGAGGGCGATGTAGACTGAATTCTACTCTCTAATATCAGTCACACTATGAAAAGCAGAAGGAGGTCCGTAGCCAGCAATCTCAAAGTGGGTCTATTTATGAAAAAAATTGACCGTTTACTATGAAACCTTCGTATACATGTATCAAATGTCAGCCAGAGTGGACATTTTCCCGACAAAAAAGGGCGGTTCGAACCCCCCCCCACCCTACCAATACCCCCTGGACCCCCCCCCCTCGAGAGGTTTTCTGATAAAAAATAGGTTGGAATCAGTGGGTGGGGGTCGAAGAGACCCTCATTAGCAAATCTATCAACTTGTGTAGGGCTACCTATCCTGAGATTTTATACACAGCACCCTGGTTTTCTTATACAAACTGGAAACTGATCTCCACATTATCCTGGGGTGAGCCCTGCACTTACATCAGAGAACAGACTTTTCTATTTTCGCCAGAATGTGTTATTTATTACTGTGAGATTCAGAGAATCTGATATCACACTGGCTGGCAGGCACTTGCTGGCAACATAGTTCTCATTTGACTGTGAATTAAACTCAGAGCAGCATTATCTGTCTCTGCTCTGTAATAGAGGGTTCTTCTCCTTACTGGCGTGCTTAAAATGGAGAGGTTGCTTTGATATTTGATTGCCCTCAGTTGATTAACCTTTAGCAGGGAGAGATTCCCAGTTTTCTAGAACGATCTCTCTCTCTTTCTCTCTCTCTCTCTCTCTCTCTTTCTCTCTCTTCAAATGAATTAATCGCTCTATCTCTCACTTCTCTCTCTCTCTTCAAACACACACGCACACACACACACACAATCTCTCTCTCTCTCTTCTTCTTCCTCTCTCTCTCCCATACGGTTGGATTGTATCCTAATTTTAAGTCAATGTTACGTCAGGTCAGAAAGATCCTGAAATTTATTTAACGTTCCATACCCAATAGGGCCAATACATCTTCGACTAATAGTGGATTGTATTACTTTGCCTGGTAACGGTAATTTTATTTTCTTAGACAGGAAACCGCGTAATCAAAAAATCGTTTCTGTTTGCTCTTGTTTATTTAGTTTCAATTAGTTACAAAATGTGAGCAGCTTTTGTATATCTGTCTATCTGTCTCTACCCTTTAAATACGTGAAAGATTACTTGTATTCATCCCCCGATGAATAAAAAATCCACTCCACGCCGAAACATCGAAAACAAAATTCGTTCATGAAAAAAGAGAAAGATAAAGAGTTAAACTGCTTGCGATAACTCCAATCTATCCACAGCTGCGTGATCTCTGTTGCTTTCCACCCATGGCTAGGTTAAGGAGGACGAGTTTCTTACCTCGCCTTGTGTCTGGCATTTCTCCGCATGTATTTAATGGTCGGAGAAGGCCGAGGACCCAGATGCCTCACCCCCACCCCCAACCCCCACCCATAGGAACTGGAGTAGTAAGTTTCACCACTTCTGAATATGAACGGGACGCTGAGAATGTCGGGGGCAGCTATAAACGTACCTGGTTCCTCTTTTTCTCTCTGCTAACGTGCTCCCTCTCTCTCTCTCTCTCTCTCAAACAAATGACTGAGCATAATTGTGCTTATCAATAGACGCTGGTTTAGGGCCTACTGGAAAAAAACTGACCATTTGAACACCGCCAGTGGCAACTTATAGCGTAATTGCTTCATTTCCATCTTTCATTTCAGTAATGAGGAAATTCATGTCCAAACTGAAGAGGGGCTAAATTTGCATGTTGTGATGTTTTTTCTGTATGATTTTTGATTCGATAGGACACTAAGTGATACATCATCATTTATTAACGTACAGAACACCCAGCCCTTCGGGCTTATAGGACATTTTATGAATATGTTGGTACAGGAACTAGCTATACCTGATACGTGATGCCAGTGTAATTACTTATAATTGCCCAGGAAGGCTGTATCAGTATCCCTGTTGTTGTCAAGTTTCCACGGTAACGTTGTTAGTAAAACGAAAGATGGCGTGCACCCAATACCAGTGATAATGACGCCCTTATATAACACAAAGTTTGCAGTTTGTGAAATAAGGGGGGGGGTCGTGATTTCGAATACATCATATTGAACCCCCACGGTCCCACCCCACCCCCTGCTGAGGTAATCCAAATTTTAGCGTTATTTTCTAATTTTCGTAAGGTTTTGGAGCTAGGTGGTATGGCTACTATATGGCGTCAGAGATGTATTTTCCGTAATAAAAGGAAATGAGCATTGTGTACGTCTTGACTTCTTCATCATTCCCCCTTATATCTTCATATTATTCCTGTACATATTGGGTCGCAGTGATTGTCAAATGTTCTACTGTGGAGAAATAGATTACTGTGTAAACAGATGAGTATATATTTGACCTGGATCTGCACACAAGGACAATCATGAATGCCGAATTGTACCGCAAAACTTTTAACGATAAACAACCAGTACTGTCTTTTCCCAGTTCCACTAAAAGGCAGGTCTATTTTTTCATAAAATATCCAGAGATGTTTCTGTTGATATTCGCTAGCTGTGTCTACTTCTGTTCTGCCCAACGAGGGTTTTACACAACTACTAAAGCTATGTGTCATCACACAGCAGGCCTCTTGTAAAGAGCAGAGAGAGAACGTTTGAAGCGCGTAGAAACTGTGAAAGTTAGATACCAAGGTTTGACAAAGGTAATTGGTAGGGAAAAAACGAGGGTTTTCACCCGAGGCAAACGACACAAAACTCATTACGTGAACGTCACCGCGTGGTAACGGGACTAAGGACGCACGTGACCAATTATTGTTGTAATTAAAGAGACGTCACCACGTTGTAAAGTGAGCATTTTAGCCTGGGGCAGCGTATGTAACGCCAACTCGCCTCGCACTTGAGCAATCCGTCAAGTTGTGTTTTGTAACTGGTGTCATAACTGAAAGCAACTCTTCTCCCATTTTCATCCTGTACGCTACAAAGCACAAGGGTGCGTTCGCAATTTATTTGAATATATCGTACTAGCTAGACTCTGGCTGAATGCAATCAGGTTGACACGCCTCCTTCTGGCTTTGGGTAGAATTAAGAAAAGTTGGTGATTATACGAGTGCGTTGGGAACAAGAGGATGTGTGTTAATCTGATTGCATTCAGCGTGAGTCCCCGTGGAGTGAGGGCGCACTTGCTAGTACGATAGATTAATTGTGAACGCACCCCAAGACATCATTAAGAGAGAGATTCGGGAATCCCCTACCCTCTACTACGGCCACAGATTGATTTTTCACAAGATATGCACAGATACGTGAAAAATTGGCAGTCATTTTGCTGTTTCTGGAAAATGTGCCCATATAGATATAATCTGCCACCATGGCAGAGGGTAGGAATCCCCAATCAGTGGCTATACGATCATTGTGACGTGAAATATTGAACACATATATGGTCGCTTTAAACCATCGCCTGCATACTTAATAAAAGTGCACATTATTGCTACAAGTGCATAGATGAAAATGAAAGTCCTTAGTACCCTGATGGTGAAGTTTTTGTATGATGAGGTGTAGTCAGTTTATTTTATTGACAACTGTCTTGGTGATAAGAGAAGGAGTATCAATTTTAAGACGCAGGAGAGCGAGCAAACGTTTCTTCTGACCTCCAGGGTGTGATTTAAAAGCGAGCAATCGAAACTGTTCTAGATTTTTACAGTTCTCCTAAATTACTTGTGAGTTGTGAAGGTTATATGTTTTCGTCTGAGGAGTATATGGGAGCGAGTTCTTATTGTCACGCAATATTGCTGAATAGGCAGGAAAGCTAATATTGGGCGGCGACTGATTAATGAGTAAAGGGAATTAAATAAGCACGAAATATGGGATTCCGCGGAAAGAGAGAGAGAGAGAGAGAGTGACGGAAAGATAGAGAGAAAGAGAGAGAGAAAGATAGATAGAGAGAGAGAGATGAAGAGAGAGAGAGAGAGAGAGAGAGAGAGAGAGAGGGAGGGAGAGAGGGACGGAGAGAGAAAAGGATGCGGAGAAAGAGTACTCTCTGGCCGCTGGGTCCAAGGCTGTTACAAAAATATTTTATCGGCCTATATTTAATTTTGTATACTATTTTAGAGGTCCCTTATATCAGAGAGAGAGAGGGGGGGAGACGTGGTG